AGCTCTGTGTTAGTGTCCACATCCCGAGAACACAGCGACCTCTAATCCCTTCCTCCGTCTCCTCCCGACCGCGCAGACAGGTGACATTGGAGCGTTTCATAACGGCGCTGTTCGGCTCCTGGGCTGAATGAGGAACATCTGCTGTGGGAGCTCTGAGCTCCAGCTGTGGGGCTGCGTCTGCGCCGTGCCTGCGCAAAAATGAGGCCAGAATAAGACTAATCCCACTCAGCGAGGACAGCCAGGTAATCCTCAGAGAGATCCTGCTGTCCTGGAGTCGCCCACACAGCCCGGCGCATCCTGCCACACAGCCGGCACAGCTGGCAAAGGTGACGCTGAGACGCCGAGGTCTCAACCTGAGTTTAAGACTCTGAGTTAAGTAAGAAACATCGCCAATGTTTTTAACTCAACGGGACGCAGAGAAGCTCGTTCGCGCCTTTATTTTGAGTAGACTGGACTACCGTAGTGCTCTGTTTACTCGTCCCCCAAAAAAGTCATTCTGATTCAGAATCTGCTGCCAGAATTTTAACCCAAACTAGGAAAAGAGCATCACTCCTGTTCTAGCTACACTGCGCTGGCTCAATGTATCTTATGGAACTGATTTTAAAGTCTGCCTGCTTGTATATAAACCCCTTAGTCTCTGTCCTTTCGTGCCCCTTAAGGAGCTCTCAGGTCCTCCACAGTGAGTCTGGTAGACATTCTTAAAGTCCCCTAAAATAAATTAGGGGAGGCAGCCTTCGCCCTCTGCATCCAAACTGCAGAACAGTGTACCATAAAGCTTTAGAGAGGTTCAGTGGACATTCACACTGTCTACACACATGACTATATTATAAAGGTTCACAAATGTTTCTGCCCTGCAAAAAAATGAAACCTCAGCGAGTGAAAACATCTTCAATTGAGTCAATATCGAATTTGTCTTATTATGAGACTTTTGTAAGAGTATTATGAGCTAATTTGACTACTTTCTAGACTTTTTTACTTGTTTTCAGTCATTATCTGTGGTGGAAGTGTCTTATGTCATTGGCAGACTGTACATTGTACTTGTTTATTTATAATTTGTATAATTATAATTTGTATAATTATTTCTCAAAACAAATAAAATTATCTGCCAATGAAATCAGACAGTTTCACCAGATAAAATGACTGAAAACAAGTAAAACATGTCTAGAAAGATGAACAATCTTACAGTGTATGTTTGCTTTTTTACACTGTTACTGTGAGGATGCACCAACTATTTAGGTTGAAAATGGTAAAATTGACACTTCAAACAGTTTGCGCAGCAATAAATGGTGTCTTGGCAAGTGAAACTGTCTTAAATCTATTCAATATATCTAATATTTCTCATTTTGACACTGTTGTGAGTTTATTATAAGATTATTTAACTTATTTATTAGACTTGTTTACTTGTTTTAAGTAATTTTATTGAGTAAAATGATCTCACTGTATTGGCAGACAGTCATGCTGGCACATTTCCTACAACAAGCAACAGGCCAAAAACCACACAGTACAGTACTTAACAGTACGCCAAAACAAGTACGCCACCATTAGAAGAGTCATTCATTGGTTTAGTGTGTACAGTATAGCAGAAAGCAGGTCTGGACACAGTAACGGTCACTAGTTAGCTGTGTTAAAATGGGAATAAACTATTAAAGATGAAATATAACATGTACAACACAGCCTCTCACTCAGACATTCAGAAAACACTGTAACTCAGGCTGGGGGAAAACAGCAGGTGGGGGAGGGAGAGAGAGAGAGAGAGAGAGAGAGAGAGAGAGAGAGAGAGAGAGAGAGAGAGAAAGATAGAGACAGAGAGAGACAGAGAGAGAGAGAGTGCAAGAGAGAGAGAGTGCAAGAGAGAGAGAGAGAGAGAGAGAGAGAGAGAGAGAGAGAGCGCGCAAGAGAGAGAGAGAGAGAGGGAGGGAGAGAGAGAGAGACAGAGAGAGAGAGAGAGAGAGAGAGAGAGAGAGAGAGAGACACAGACAGAGAGAGAGAGAGAGAGAGAGAGAGAGAGAGACACAGACAGAGAGAGAGAGAGAGAGAGAGACAGACAGACAGAGAGAGAGGGAGAGAGAGAGAGAGAGAGAGACAGAGAGAGAGGGAGAGAGAGAGAGAGAGAGAGAGAGAGAGAGAGAGAGAGAGAGAGACAGAGAGAGAGACAGAGAGAGAGAGAGAGAGAGAGAGAGAGACAGACAGAGAGAGAGAGAGAGAGAGAGAGAGAGAGAGCGCACCTCAGTTTGTGGTTGTCTCAGAAATACACAACTGGATCTCCACAGCTGTGAAAATGTAACCGAATAGGAGAAAAAACGGAAGCAGCTGAACTGAAAGTGAAATGAAGAGAAGCTCCATTCATAACTCAGACAAATCAACAGCTCTGCTATCATAACAGAGCGGAAAGTAAATGACATATCGTACATTCAGTTCATACTGAAGCGTGCAATTTTGGGTGAATCTCCCGTGACCACAGGACAGCCACAGCCTCTCATCGGGAGAATCTCTCATGCCGACTCTCCACAGCGAGGAGCAGCCAGCAGCGGAGAGCCGCAGGCAAGATACATCAGCTTAAAACCACAGAGAGGTCAGAATAAACCTAAGAGACGTCTGACTGGACGAGACTGGCCAAAAACAGCAAAAATGTTTTAAATAAGAATTTACTTCTCACACAAACACACTTGACAAGCCATTATTCAGGAAACACCACAGCCGGTGGAGGAAGTGGCAGAAGAAGCCCTGAAACACTCTTACAAACCATTCCTCAGACCCAGGACGCGTTCTAAACCAGACAGAGGAGTCAGCTCAGCAGGAGTTTAAGGAGTGAGACTGTGAGGCCTGTGCCTTAAAACTGTCTCACTTTAGAGTTAGGAACCATTTCACTTCAGAGTTAGGAACCGTCTCAAAACCACCTCACTTCAGAGTTAGGAACCGTCTCAAAACCACCTCACTTCAGAGTTAGGAACCAGCTCAAATCTGTCTCACTTTAGAGTTAGGAACCGTCTCAAAACTGTCTCACTTCAGAGTTAGGAACCGTCTCAAAACTGTCTCACTTCAGAGTTAGGAACCATCTCAAAACCACCTCCCTTCAGAGTTAGGAACCGTCTCAAAACCGTCTCACTTCAGAGTTAGGAACCATCTCAAAACCACCTCCCTTCAGAGTTAGGAACCATCTCAAATCTGTCTCACTTTAGAGTTAGGAACCATCTCACTTCAGAGTTAGGAACCGTCTCAAAACCACCTCCCTTCAGAGTTAGGAACCGTCTCAAAACCACCTCCCTTCAGAGTTAGGAACCATCTCAAATCTGTCTCACTTTAGAGTTAGGAACTGTCTCAAAACTGTCTCACTTCAGAGTTAGGAACTGTGTCAAAACCTAAAATATGTTAACACATCCTCTATAGAGAACACACTTCTGCACAATTTAATACACAATTACTATTAATTTACAGAATTTAACAAATCTGGAAAAAATAAAATAAAATGTGGCCTGTGGTCTGAGGAAACTGCACATACGGAATGTGTACAACAGTACATTTCATAGTCTCATTTCATAACTTATTACTGTACTGTATTGGAATAGTGCAATACTATATTATGTATATATATGTATATTGTGTATATGTGTATATTCAGAGTCGGTGTATATATATACATAGATATAAGGGGGCTCCATTTGTGTAAATGTGATGTGACAATAAACGTGATGTGATCTGATTTGAAACACTCACTGTAACATACAGGCGGATTTCTGTAGGCCTGATATCTGCAGCCTGCAGCACCGAGTGTGTTCAACCAGCTCAGCTCAGCAGAACAGCCTCATCTATATTACAATGACTGTGATAATAACGATCACATCACCAACATGATTAACAGTTCAGCTATGATCACATGTCAGAATATCAGTGTCTTTCTATAATTTGCATGGAATTTTTAAACTGGTGGAGTTTTCACCGTTAGTGTGGGCTGTTACCACGGTAACCAGATCACAGGCCTAGGGATGCACTGATATGGGAACTGGGGCCGATTACAATATGTGGAAATTGTATGGACATATCTGCCAATTCTGTTACAGAAATATTTATAAAAAAGTAGAAATTGGACCAAATCTACCTGAATCAGCATCACAGAGAAATAACATGTTTATTAGTATAGTTATAAATGCACTAAAATAAACAAAGCACAGATCATTTTAGTGCAGTAACTCAACATTACCTGAACACTCTGCTCTTCTGGAGTTCACTAAGCACAACATCACACATCAGTGAAAAATCCAGACTCCTGTCCAACGCGGACTCTCTCTCTTTTTAGGCAAATACCTGCTGATCCTGATATGACTCTGATATCATCATGTGTCCCCACTGAAAACGAGCTTACTGCACTCATAAGAGTCACAACAAGAGCGATGAAGAGCCACAGCCAGGTGCTCCATTACACCAGCGCAGGTCCAACATCTCCGGCTGTCATGCTATCTGATCCTGCAGGGGAATCTGGTAAGAAGCTTATGGTAGATTTCCAGAGGCTTACGGAGAACCAATTAGAAAGCGCAGATGTGATTCGGTCGCTCTCTAAGAAGTTCACAAGTTGCAGGTACGGCAGTCACAGCGAGCAGACCCGCAAGAGATCCGACTTAATCCTTAATTACAACCCGTCTACTCTCTGCTTCAATAAGCCCCTGAGACCCCGACCAAAGAAGACGTCCCAGCTGAAGTGGCAGTGTGGGAATGATTAGATCTTTCCCAGGATCAGCTCACCAAAAACGGACCCAGCTTCCTTCTTCCCTCCAGGGAGGAAAAGAACCGGAGTGTTTTGATTTAGGCTGATTAGAACAGCATGAGCTCTGATTAAAGTAAAGGTATACAGTGCAGAGCTGGAGGAGCAACGAAACAACAGAACCGAGATAAACGCAGGAATGACGTTCCTGTTTGGGACAAACTTAGAAAAGAGAGTTGGTTCATTTGTTTCATCGCCTCAGAAGATCTGATCTGAGAAACAAGTATGATTTGGTGATGCTCACCTCAAGCCGCTGGACGATTTCTCTGATGTCCTCTCCGCAGTTGTCCTGCGCCGAGAGCATCACACATTCACCGCGCTCGTAGAAAATCTTGATGCTCATGACGCCGGAGGTCCAGCCGATCACGTCCCGGCAGGAGCAGTTGAAGACCACGTTCTTGGACTCCTCCTCAACGAGCACGATGAACTCGTTGGAGATGCCGAGCAGGCACTCCACGTCCGCCGACTGGCCGAAGTCGCGCGCCACCACGCTCCACGTCACGGCTCCTACGCTCTGGAGGTGCGCGTCCTTCCTCGGCTTGATGCGCTCCTTCTTCTTGGCGCCCAGCGTGATGAAGCTGAACTTCACGGCCGAGTCCACCGTGGCTGTGCTCGCGAAGTTCTCCGCGAGGTCTTTAAGGTACTCTTGGCGTGTGCGTGTTGCCATGGCACGAAACTTCTCCGACTTGTGTGCCGCGTTCTCACCGTTGATCACCTTGGCCAGCAGGAAGTCCCTGAAGACCGCCGACTTTGGGAAGGTCACACCTTTAGGAATAGGAGGACCAAATGGAGGCACATCTTTCGATCTAGATACAGCCACGCTGCCAGGGAAAGGGAACACAGGTGGAACTTTAGAATTTATACTAATTATCAATCCAGAACAGCCAAACAAGGAACAAGGGTTCCCCCTTTACACTGGTAACCAAAACAAGCATGATTTAACTGTAGTTAAGCTAAGAGACTTTAAGCTCTTCAGCTGTTCCTTTATATCTCTCCAGTACTTTAACGAAGGCCAATTAAAGACAAATGCTTTTGATTCAATTAAATCATCTGCCAATTTGATCCAATCTTCTGCTGGAGACTCAGCTGGAACATCACTTTCTACACATGATTTTAACTGGATCTGCCAAAGATCACCATCAACAACGTACATCACATCAGTCTGACGTCTTCATCAGCACCGCAGGATAAAAGAGAGAACCATGAGCCATTCAAACTCGTTTTACTGTCACACACTCTCACAAAAAAGATGGTTCTTCAAGGGTTTCTTAGCAAACAACAGTTCTATACAGAACCAAGAACACTCAAAGAACCCTTGCATCATTAAATAGTGAAATTATTCTTCACATTGATGGAGAATGAGTGGTATATGGTTCTATGTAGCACCAAAAATGGTACTGCTACTGAAACCATGTCAAGCTTTGATATTGTACACTCTTTTAAAAATTATGGTTCTTCAAGGGTTCTTTAGTAACGAAAATGGTTCTATATAGAATCATGAACACTAAAAGAACCCATTGCATGATTAAAGGTTTTTTTGCATCATCAAATGGTTGATGGACAACGTGCTGTAGACAGTTCTTTCTAGAACCTTTTTGAAAAGGGTTCTATATAGCACCAAAACATAAGATGTCAAGCTCGTTACAATAGAACCTATTTAGAACTCCTTCCAAAAAGGTTGTATATAAAACCATCTACAGCACATTCTCCATCAATCTGAAGAACCCTTTAAATCATGCAAAGCGTTCTTTGAGTGTTTAGGATTCTATCTAGAACCATTTTCTTTACTAAAGAACCCTTGAATAACCAGTGCTGCTGAAGTTCTACAAAGTGAAACTATATGGTCAGTGGAGCTGATAAAGTGGACAGTGAGTGTAGAAACAAGGTGTTTTAATGCCATGGCTGGTCAGTGTTTATCAGTGATGGTGATCTCGGTCAGACTCTGCTAAATTCTCGTGTGGAGACTCTCTGTGAACCAGCTGAGGCAGATGTTAGACACACACTGAGCCTTTCTTCCCTCTACAAATCTGTCAGAATGTCCACCTGTCAGCTCACCTGTAGCAGACATTTTCAGTGCATGGATTGTGGACTTTGACGATGACGAATACGTGCTGGAAGTGGGAGCGAATGTTTTTAGGGGTGAAGGGCAGGGCTCCCGGCTCCTGAAACACGATGGTGACGATATCATTTCCTATGTGTCTTTTTCTGAGCAGCTGCAGGGAGAAACAGAGAGACAGAGGAAGGTGAAACATGACAGCAATGAAAAACATTAGCATTTGATAAGGAGGTGACCACTAGAAACACGCATGATGTGAGATTATAGGGAAGCTTCGGCCTCGGCGTGACCCACACTGGCTCTGAGTGCTCCAGCAGCAACTCTGACTCATGTTAAGAAAAGCCAAGGACATCTGCTTAAAGGAATGAAGTCATTGAAACGCGGATATTAAATTCCAACTAAGGAAATTCATAATGGTTAACCAAGAAACCAAACCAGTTCACCTGCCAATGAACTTCACACCAAACTAAACTTAAACCACTAACAGCTTCACTGAGGACAGAAACAGATTCCTGCAAAAGTCAAGTCACCCTTGATTTGATTTCTCGCCAAAACATCCATTAAGAACAAATTCTTAATTTTTCAGGAGATATTAATGATGAGGTCAGATATAATGTGTCTCCTAACAACCACCTGGAAGAGCTGGCAGACCCCAAAACTGCCCCCATCAGATAAACAGCACTTAAAGCTTTCATCTCTGAGAGAGAGGAGAAAATCAAGCTGATCAGATCTGAAAACATCCACAGGTGTTTCTGTCCATCCTTCCACTGTGAGAAGACGACTCAGCGCTGTGGGTCTGAAAGGATGTGTAGCTGTCAAGAAGAACCTCACTGAGAAAAGGAGACGGACACATCAAACACAGAAGCTGAACGATGGACGGACCACCCCAGAGTCCAGACCTCATCATCCAGTTAGGGGAGCTCTCCCTGCTTTTCTTATGATAACATGGTGAAGATTCTTAAGTTTCATGTCTTTTATTATCCCTTGTTCAGGAATACAACACTAAATTTAAAGAAAAAAGCGTATTTTCGTTAAAGACAAAGAAATTCAGTGATTAAAGCTTACAGTACGAAACGCTGCACCCACACGCTGCTCCTACGGCACAAACCAGCTCAGCTCTCACTGAGAAAAGGAGACAGACATCAGACAAAGAAGCTGAATGGACTGACCACCCCAGTCCAGACCTCAACATCACTGAATGGTGGTGCACCTCCTCATGCCAAACATCCACTACACTGGACATTTTGTCCAGGTGTTCTGGCTCTACTGAAGCAGGTACGTCACCACACTCACCTTTACATGTTTCTACACAACTCAGCTCAGCCAGTTTGCATTGAAGACCCTGTAGTTACTGAATAATAAGCCTTAGTATGTAATAAGACTGAGATTTTAAGGGGTTAAAAGAACGTTTTCTTTGTTTATCTCATCATAAACAAAATCAAACATGGCAGCTGGCGAGCAAGACGCTCACCACTTCCACAAGGTGAACAAAATAAAACCCTGTTTCTAATTCATTCTGTATTTATTTCAGAAATCTTTTAAAAATTGGGGTAAAATTACAAATAAATATATGTAATATTGCTTATGCAGTGTTTCTGCCTGTTTCCTTGACTTTTTAAGCCACTTGCTCACAGTAGATTTAGTAATGTGAACCAGTGATGATGCTTTACGTTAAAAAGCTTTGTTTATTATTATGACATAAAAATGAAGAAGAGTATTTAATATTTTAGGAGCAGTTCATGCAGAAGTCCAAGCAGTTCATACTCTTCTCATGCAGCCTCACAAACAGTGAACACAGAACGGATCATTATTGGCTCTGTTTTATGTTGGTGATAATAAATTTACAAATATATTAATTATTAGAAAAACTCTCACATTTTAGTCCAAGTCCAAATATAGAGTATACACTCTTAAAAAGATGGTTCTTCAAGGGTTCTGTAGTAAAAGATGGTGGTTCTGTATAGAACCATGAACTCTCAAACAACCCTTTGCATGACTAAACTGTTCTATGCATGGTGAAAGCGTTCTTCAGACTGATGGAGAATGTGTTATAGTTCTATATAGCACCAAAAAGGGTTCTGCTATTGTTTCAATGTCAAGCCTATAACAACAGAAGAACCATCTACAGCACATTTTCCATGAATCTGAAGAACCATTTCATGATGCTAAGAACCAGCATGTTAAGGGTTAATTTAGTGCTCATGATTCTATCTAGAACCATTTACTTCACTAAAGAACCCTTGAAGAACCATCTTTTTAGAGAGTTGATTCCCATATTCTGTTATTGTGTGTGTAGCAGAGAACCTGTTTCATAACAAAGCGTTATTTGTTTGTTAAGTGTCTCAGGACTGAGGAGGATAATGAAGTGTTCCAGAGGGTTCAGGCCTGGCTAACATCAATATATGATTAAAGGGGAACTCCACCAATTTTTCACAATTTCTACATAATTAACTGGTTAAGATGTAAGCAGAGCAGTTCAGAGTGGTTCAGAGTGGTTTGGTGTGAAACGCTCTGTTCTAGATAAACTTACCGAGTCAGAACTGTTCACAGTGGTGGTGATAGGAACCAGACGTCCACCTCTAAAAGCTCCCTCACAGAAAGTTCCTACATGAAATGGTTATGAATTCACTGCCTGATGACTGAGACACTGTTTTATGGTAGTTTTGTAATAAAGTTTTGGTCTAAAATGCACTTTAATCTGTTCATGATGGAGGACATGAAGGGTGTTATAAGGCAAAAATAGTCCATCTACATTACAAAAATAAAACTAATCCTCAGAAGAATCGTGTAGGTTCACTGGTGGTTCTGGATAGTAAATAAAATGTCTATATTTGTGTTGTAGTCATGGCGACCCCTGGTTCCTATCACCACCACTGTAAAGAGATCCGAACCATTTCACACCAAACCGCTCTGTTTACATCTCACACCCTGAGTTATGGAGAGACTTTTGAAAATTTGGTGGAATTCCCCTTCAAGCTAGACTGCAGGGCTGTGTGGATCTGGGCCCCCACATGGGTCGAAGAACAAACAGGATTGGGGTGAAATAGGGCGGATGAAGAGATGAGGGAGGTGAGCTCTGCTCAGGCTCTCTGAAAGCTCACCGGCGCGGATTTAGCGCCGACTAATCCTGAGCAATCAAATGGAATTTCAGAAGAAGAAGAAAGAGAAAGGAAGAAAATCCCCTAATGCTGCCACTTGACCATCTTTGTGACGCGTGACAATTGCTGTGCCGGTGATGCCACGTCCCAAACACATGGAGAACAAGAAGCTTCTCTGTTTTTAAACTAGGGCTTCCTGACAGGAAAGTAGGCCACTAGCCACAGAGCTGGAGCGCTGCTAGCTGATTTATGAGCCTGCCTTCCAGCAGTCGGCTGTTTTATTTATTATTATTTTTTGTGTGTCAGCTGCTCCGGCTGCCAGCTCGAGTTCCTAGCGCTCTCCTGAAGGCAGATTTAGAGGTCACTTCTCACTCTGCAGCAGGAGAAACGAGCGTCTTTGGCTTTAGCTACATGCATCCTCGCCTTCCTCAATCAAAGCCTTATCAGTCCATCTCTGCTGCTGGGCCCTCTGATACAGTCACCTGCTGGAGCACCAGTTTGTTCCCCCCTTCTTGGGACCAACTAATTAAAACGGCATTTTGTCACTGTTGTCATGGCAACTGTCTGTAAGAAGATATGTCAAAAATTAGAGTGTAAGGTAGAGTAGAAAAATCTGTCTGTCTATGATACAGATAAACGTTGGTCTCGGTTTAAAGCTGCACTATGTAAGATATTTGTCGTTAAAACTGATGGAAGCTTCATTACTGAGTGAGAAGAATATAAAAAGGTTTAACACAGCAGCTCATTCTGGGGTCACTGTTAACACGATTCCAGATCTACCACTTCAGCTTAAAAAGATGGTTCTTGGGGCTCCTGTCTAAGTGTTGTCTCTGTCATCAGGAGATCGTGAGTTTGATCCCTGGTGATGGTACTGTCGTCTGTGGTCGGGAGTCCAAGAGAGCACGGTTGTCCTCGCTCTCTCTGGGTGGGCAGGACGGCCCCCCATCTCCCACCCATCACTCAGTGTGATGCTAGTCAGCGCAGGCGTCTGTTAGGTGGCGTAACTGATCTGGAGGTTAGCGTCTCCTCAGAGCGCGTTCGGCTGAACAGTGACGTTTGAAAAGATGCGGTGGAGCTTCGCAGAACTCGGAGGAGGCCTGTTGGTCTTCACTCTCCTAGCGCTGGGGGTATCATGTGACTGAGGGAGTCAGAAATAGTGGGAGGAATTGGATACGACTAAATAATAATAATAAAAAAAAAGATGGTTCTTCAAGGGTTCTTTAGTAAAGACAATGGTTTTATTTTGAATCAAACACTCAAAAACCTCATTTGCATCAGAAACGTTAGATTGATGGAAAATGTTCTGTAGATGGTCCTTTTTGAAAAGGGTTCTATATAGCACCCAAAATGGTTCCTCTATGTTATGATGTCAAGATTGTAACAACAGAAGAACCCTTTTGGGTGCTACATGAAACCATTTTCAAAAAGGTTCTATACAGAACCATCTTCAGCACATTCTCCATCAGTCTGTAGAACGCCTTCATGATGCAAAGAACACTTTAATCATGCAAATGGTTCTTTGAGTGTTCATGGTTCTGTATAGAACGATTTTCTTTATTAAAGAACCCTTGAAGAACTATCTTTTGTAAGAATGTACAGTGGTTGACCACACCCATTCATATTGTATAAGGAGAGCTGGTTCAGCCAATCAGAAGAGACATATCAGCCTTACATTCAATCAGAAATCAAAACTGACCTTTTTAAACCGTGTTTGTTCAGGTCGCTGGTCATAAGCATCTTCAAAATTCGTATAATTTAATGAGTTTTATTTGCGTCTAAACGATGTTGTGCTTTCTGATTAAGTCACCAGGCACCAGTGGGTGGGAAAAATAGTTTTAACCAAAAACATCATCTCTCTTCTTCCCTCCCACCAATCACAGAGCAGAATCACAGTCAGCTCAGAGAACCCCGCCCTCCCCCCATAGTATGTTTCGGCAGCGACAGCCAGACATTCTGTGCCGCAGAGGCGCCGGCAGGAATTTTGGGCCCTCTGAAAATGTCATGCATGGGCCCCTCAGATCAGCTCACTCCACTCAGCAGAACCTAAAACGGTCAGAACACTAAAACATACTAATATTTTCATAACGCTGCTCTTTACTGTCTTACAGCTCCACAAGTTCAGCTCTTACCATCACCACACTGTCATCACCAGCATACAGCCAGCTGTGAATAATACATAATACTGATTTAAAAAGATTAATCTGATTTAAAACTGATTGATTTCACAGTTTATTATGTAATTGTACAAGGTCTCAGTCTGAACCTCCTCCAGCTGTACAGACAACATCAACACCACAGTCAAACTCATCCCATACTGGATTGAGCATGTCGGGTGTCACTGCACTCACGGCTCTTTCAGTGCGATTTCGGAGATCGTCCAGTGTTGTGGAACCAACGGCGAACGCTCTGAGCTGTTGGAGCTTCACTGCTCAGGGGTCTCATCTCCTCTCAGACTGAAGGAGCCGTCTTCCACTGATAGGCAGAAACTCTATGACCCCCTCTTTCAGTTGGATTATGATTGGTTCCTATTCGCATCATGGTTGTAAAAATATTGTGCTTTGAAATCGGATGAATCTTTTTGATTCACCCTGTATATTCAACAATATAAAATACGCAGCATGACTATCATCTGGCTGAAACTAATATTTGTTGCTTCTCAAAGGTGCAAACGGGCTGCGGAACCAAATCTAGCACATTATTCAAAGAAGAGGTGGACAATACTGTATCGTTATCGTGATGAATTTTATTGTGATAATATGCGTTACTGGGTGCATTGTGAATATCATATCCATCATACCATCATATGAAGGTTTCTTAAAAACAAGAACACAATCAGTCCTGCTGAACCAGTTTCAGTGCAGCTCAGTGTGAGAAAGTCTGAATAATAATCAGAGTTTCTGAGAGCAGTTTTTAATTGTGGTGCTGCTGGTGAATCATGTGTGTCTGAGTGTGAAAATATGGTGATCAGTATCATGTATCATGAAAACGTCTTCATAAAGTGTCATGCATCATGATATTTGTGCCATATCACCCACCCCCCAACTCAAAGCCTAAAACTAAAATCTTCACAAACACACTCGTTTATCCAGATATAGATTCAGTCGAGGAATAAAGCTTTAATATTTTAATCCTCCTTTTAAACCTGCAGAAAATGATCATAATCAAAACTGTTACCCAAATTTGTGTCACATAAAAAAAGTCAAAACAGACGTTAAACACTGAATGGGGTCAAACTGACCCCAAAGAAATTGGAGGGTTAATATTCCGCTTTAATTCTACTTAATTCTACAATCTGGTTTGATTCTATTGTGACTTTTATATTCAGTGGTCAAAAGAAAACAACATATAAAACACCAAAAAAGGTGCTGAAAATGTGCAGCAGAACAGGATTGGATTTCGATTGGACACCTTCAGCTCTGAAACACTGGGGGAAACTGTTTTCAGCACTTTACTGTTCTGTATTCATTGTTTCTGAAAATGCTTCAATCTCCATTTTAATTTCAAATGAAATTCTCATTATTCTTACGGAACAGGACTGGGCTAAACCACTGACCGTTTGGTTATTTAATGGATGAAGCACTTTAATTAAGAACCTTTCAGTGAGCCTAAAAACATCAGATAATCAATCAGTCAACCTTTGTTCAGGCTTGTTTAGTGTGACCCTCATTTGCAGCTTAGCCCAGTATAAGAGCAAAGAATACACAGGGATTGAAAACAAGAATGAAATTCAATCAACTAACAAAACTAAATAAACACTTAGGAATTGTTTAAAATAATGAAGGAACAAACAACAATAAAAATAAATAAAAATTAAAATTAACAGAATAGAATAGCAAAACAAATCAAACGACCAAAGTCTGCGCTGGCGCTGTATCTAAAACTTATTGATAAATGAAATGAACCAATTCATCTTTCAGTAAGCCTTAAAGAAAAAAGTCAGCACATGCAAGCGGTACCACACTGTCATATCACATAAAAGCACAATGACTGAAACATGGCTAAAGGAAAACAGTCATGTAGAAATGAATTATGGCTGTTTTTGGTACAAACACTAAAAAAATTAAGGCTTAGTGAGTTAAAACATCTTAAATCTGGACAACATATCTAATATTTCTCATTATGAGATCGTTGTGAGGATGTTGTAAGATTATTCAACGTATTTCTAGACATTCTTTTAAGCAGTTTTTTCAGGTGAAAGTATTTCATTGACCGAACATTGTATTTGTTCCAAAAATTATTATTAAGATAATTTTGTTTATTGTATAAAGTAAAGCTTAAAACAAGTAAAATCATCTGCCACTGGAATAAAAGACTTTTATAAGACAAAATGACTTCAAACAAGTAAAAAACGTCTACAAAGTTCAATGATCATATAAAATTCTTACAACAGTGTCATAATGAGAAATATTAGATATACTGACTAGACTTATGATGTTTTCACTGTAGTGTAAAACAACACAATCATCGTGAGTGGAAGAAATAAAACGGAGAAAAAAAATGCAGGATATGGCCCCTTTAAGACCCCAGAATGAGGACACTGACCTGCTGCCTGTTGTTGGGGGTGTACGGGAGCAGGGTGGACACGTGGAACATCAGCTCGTAGTCCTTGTAGGTAGTGTAGAGCGAGTGGGTGCCGGTGGAATCCGCTGTAATAGGAGGAGACATGAGGCTCAGTCAGACAGACACGACAACACAACACAGCCGAGACGGAGACAAACCCCGGTTTCTGACGCTGACCTTCAACAAGGGCACGAACCGGACGTTGGCGGCCAATCAATTACAGAGAGATGCAGAACAGAGAGACAGTAAAGAGACCACAAACATACACAAACATAAACATAAAGCTACTGCGACACGCGACTCGGCCATCCGGCGACCTTTACTGTAGACAACAGCAAGTCAAAGTTCAGTGGACGGCATGCTAGCCGGGCATCTGGACGAGTCAGCGGTGAGTTATAGTGACAGCAAGTCGAGACAGCTGCTTCTCCTCCACCTCCCTCCTCGCACCATCACCTCTGATCTACAGCACAGGTGAGCTCTCCGCACGTGTCACCAGGTTGGGGGGGGAGGTTAAATATAAACGCTCAATAAACCTGATCAGATAAACAAGGTTCTCTAAGGGCTCAGAGGTGAAGATGTGAAAATGGCTGGTCTAAAGGAAAAAGACCGACTGGACGCAGCGATAAAGTTGTTTAGAATTAGATTATCAAATCAATAAAAAATTAAAGCAAAATGAAAAATAAATTAAAATTATTCCCACAGGCCATGACTGGGCTAAACCACTGACCGCTTCATATTTAATGAAGGAAGCATTTCAATTAAGCATGTTATAGTACTCCTTAAGGGATCAGACTATCAATCAATCAATCAATCAATCAATCAATCAATCAACCTTAGCTGATGCTTGTTTAGGGTGACCCTCATTTGCAGCGTAGCTGAGTGTGACAACACAGAACCCACAGAATGAAATTTAGTCAACTAAAACTATCAAAGATAAACGATCAGTTAAATTTATTACACTGCAAAAAATTTTGCAATGATCTTAAATCTAATAAACATAACTAATGTTTCTCATGCTGAGAATGTTGTAAGCTTATAAGATTATGTAACTTATTTCTAGTATGTGATTTTAGTAAGTTTAATTATCTCATATTATGTTTAATTTTATTTTACAAGTTAAATTATCTGCCAATATAGTGAGATTATTGTACTTTACATACTTTGTTAGCCCCCTTTTATCCTGTTCTTCAGTGGTCAGGACCCCCATGGACCCTCACAGAGCAGGTACTATTTGGGTGGTGGATCATTCTCAGCACTGCAGTAACACTGATGTGGTAGTGGTGTGTTAGTGTGTGTTGCGCTGGTACGAGTGGATCAGACACAGCAGTGCTGCTGGAGTTTTTAAACACTGTGTCCACTCACTGTCCACTCTATTAGACACTCCTACCTTGTCAGTCCACCTTGTAGATGTAAAGTCAGAGGTGATAGCTCATCTGCTGCTGCACAGTTTGTGCTGGTCATCCTCTAGTCCTTCATCAGTGGCCAGAGGACGCTGTTGCTGGACTATTCTCAGTCCAGCAGCGACACTGAGGTGTTTAAAACTCCAGCAGCACTGCTGTGTCTGATCCACTCAGACCAGCACAACACACACTAACACACCACCACCACGTCAGTGTTACTGCAGTGCTGAGAATGATCCACCAACCAAATAGTACCTGCTCTGTGAGGGTCCATGGGGGTCCTGACCGTTGAAGAACAGGGTAACAAAGTATCAGAGAAACAGATGGACTACAGTCTGTAACTGTAGAACTACAGAGTGAAACTATACAGTCAGTGGAGCTGATAAAGTGGACAGAGAGTGCAGATACATGGAGGTGGACTTGTTGGTGTGTTTGTGTACTCACTCTTATTGTCCAGCTGTGCTCTGTACTTGGTGAAGCCCTTCAGTCGCACTCTCTGACCCAGCAGGTCCAGGAATTCCTCCATCGCAGGCCCTGCGCTCTCGTTATTGTACATTTCCTCCTCTGTGCTCTGACCCGCCTTGCAGTACAGAACGCCCACTTTGTGCTGGAAACTCAGCTGCAAAAACAAAAAGGACACAAACACGACGTTCAAGACACACATCTGCTTTAAAAACAGCGAGAGGTTCAACACAAACAGCGCATGTAACAATATTACAATATCACAGAAAAGACTTCAGAACAAACTGTTCCAATCTCAGTGCTGCACAAGATGACCCAATAAAACCAGCATCTACAGCAAACCACCAAAGATCTACCGATTCAGGAAAATACTGCTGGTTTATCTTCCACAGCAAACGGAACACAACACAGTCAGCACGACGTGGTGCATGAAAACTGTCCTGTGTCAACTGATGTAGCCTTTTATACCGGCAACCAGCGCAGCAGCTCCACTTTGCTTCTGTACTGCTTAGCACTAGACTAGAACTTTAAAACTGTGGGTTTAGTGCGACATGATGATTGGTAGATATGCTAATAATTGTGGCATCTTGTTAAAAAAAAAATGACAACCAACTTCCTATCATAGAGAAGAACCATTTCACCATGCAAAGAACCAATTATATGGTTCTTTGAGTGGTCAGTTTACATATAAGCATTGTCTTTGGTAAAGAACCCTTTAACGGCCTTTTAAAGGTGTAGACTACATTAAAGGAACTCTTTCTTGGATGTCTGAGTGGTCAGTGTAGTGTAGTGGGTCACACCTCCACCTCCTACGCTGTAGACTGGGTCAGCACCCTACAATATACCAATAAGAGTCCTTGGTCAAGACTCCTAACACCACCTTCACCTACCTGTGTAAAATGATCAAACTGTAAGTCGCTCTGGATGAGAGCGTCTGATAAACGTACTGTAATGTAAATGTCTATATCAGTCGTACGGTTTCTTCAAGTTTGTCGGCTCCTGATTGGATCCAAAGCACATGAATGGATTTCTATGGGAAAATAAAGAGGCGCTTAGCTATACGAGTTCTTTAAACATGCTTTTGTCATTTTCTGTTTTTTTTTTTCCCATGATCTAAAAGTGCCAGCTGCTCCTTTCACTGTGTCCAAGTTTTCTATAATAATTGGACCAATAGAAATGCTCTAAAATGACTTATATAATAAAATAATAAAATAATAAAATCTTGCTACATTAACTTAAGTTAAGCATGTTCTTTTTCCTGTAGAGTTTCCAAGGTTTTGTTCCATCAGCAATGATACACTTCAGGTCAGTAGTTAAAGGTGCCAGCTGAATCCCCTCCCTCACCCCTCCCTTTCCAAGCGTGTAGCAGAACCTGCGGTGGCAGTCAGGTTTTCTGACGTCGTCTGTCCCGATTTCGTTTTGCTCCTATCATGTTTTCTTTTCTTTGACGGTGTGGATTCACCCTCTCTCACTTTCTCTTGTGCTAAATAATAAGCATTTGTCTAAACTTCTCACAACACACAGAATGTTCAGGCAGCATCGGCAGCAGCCACTGATTCTTCTTCTTTCCACATCTTCCAACCGGAGCTACAGCGCCACCAAATTCAAGCTGCCGCTTCAGTGTGAAAGCATGAAAGGCGCCCTCTAGAGGCAGTGTTTGGTCTGTCCACTCTGGGCTACTGTGGAAACATGGCGGCACATCATTGCGGCCTCTGTTGAAGAGGAGCTGCTCGCTATGTAGATATGAAGGGTCATTCTAAGATAACGAACACACAACGATTCGTAGTTACAGGTGATTAAATACTAATGAACACATTTCTGACAAAAGACCCCCCTAAATTTTACACACTGCACCTTTAATTTGTGCGTCAGGACGACAGTTTTAAAAATGTACAAGAAATCACACTCTAAAAATCTGCTACTAAAAATAAAAGGTAATAAGAAATAAGAAAAACAAAATCAGCAACTGGAGATGAACACAGACTCCACACAGGCTGTTCTCAGAGGAAAATGGAGCACAGCAAGGAAAAGCAATCAGAAAGTGATTCTACACAGTTAATATCTGAGCTGACAGGAGTGAATCTGAGACCAGTCCTCCCTTTAACAAGACCCTCAGGGCATCATGAACTGGCTGACCGTGACCTCTCACCCTCTTTTATACGGGGAATGCAAACAGACAATCCAGCAGGACAACCAGACTGGAAGGCAGTGGACTCTGAAAAAGAGGTGTAACATGATCCGGGAATCTGGGAGAAGCTCCACTAGTGTATCAGCAGCGTCCACTGCAGAATGTTTATTTACTCACACAAAGCCACAGAATGCCCACAACATCCCACGATGGACTGAACAGCGTCATCCTCCTTTCCATCAAGAGTCAGTTAACCAGAAAATTGGATTTAGGAGATTTTGCCAACAAGAGCAGCTCACGGCTCACAAAGAGCTCCAATAACTAAACAACAGCTAAACATTTTCTGAACAAAAAATACTGAACAAAATGCGCCGAGTAAACAGTTTAACCCTCAGGTCAGCAGGTCAAATCCTCTGTCTCTATATCTGTGTCTGTATCTTTGTGATGATCCAGCTCAGAAATCCAGTTCAAACACTTCCTGAATCTGTAGAGTCGCCCTTTCCATTCCATCTTATCTCGAGATCATACGACACTCACATCCGGAGTTATGAGCCTATGAAGAGGGGCTGAGATACACGTCATCTGCCTCTCACCGTGTGGAACTGGTGGATTCGTGCGTCCATCTACATTCTGTGTGAAACTGACCAATGGACACTCAGGAAATCACTAAGGACTGACCGTCACGCTGGAAACCCTTCATCCTTCATTCAGTCCACATCGGAGACTCGTGTGAAACGGCGTGCAGAGAGTTTACAGCTGCTGAAGCTGCTGCAGCGGTTTTGGAAAGTAGTGATGAAGATAACGGAGCATTTAGATATGAAACATATGAGGATCATGATATATGAAGAGCTTTAAAGGAGAGTTTAAGAAGAGATGAACAGATCGAGAGAGAATGACCTCGGACCACAGAGGGTTAATGAAATGTTATCCCTCACAGGCCCCCAGTGTCTGAGCAGGGAGTCTGTGTGGGAGGACACCCAAATCCCCCCAGCAGATTTATGAGCAGATCCGTCATATAACAGTCATATAATACACTTATTCACTGTTCATTACAGTCACTGCTGCTGTTGGGTCACTCGCCGCATATGGACAGCGTTTGATTGGCACTGTATGGTTGCTGTAGATGCACCACAGCAGTTACACTGTCCTGCACTGCTGAATTAAACATAGAAACTATGAAGTGTACTAGTGGTCTTTATTGGAAACCATTAAGCCAATTCCCATTAGAATGCAAAACCATTAGATTTTTTATAACAGTCCTTTTTCAGCAGGGTAATTATTTATGCATGTTTATTTATGAACTGCTACTCTTTGATTACAGTCCTCTCTCCTCACACTGCAGCAGGAACGTCCTAAACACAAATGCATATTCATTCACACTACATAATGTTCATAGTTGGATATTCTCAGCTGTCATAATGTGCCGCCATTTCATCCAGGAAAGAGGCCGAACTCAACCCAATGACAGAAAAACATCAGCGTCACCTGTTATGACAGGTGTTAAGTTGACATGACAAAGGACACCTGTTGAAATAAAGCCTTCATTAATGTTTATAAGGGGTTTATGTCAGCTGTTATTACTAGCTTACGTACACTCTTAAAACAGATGGTTCTACACAGACCCTCTTTGAAAAGGGTTTCACATAGCACCAAAAAGGGTTTTGCTATTGTCACGATGTCAAGCTTGTACACAATAGCAGAACCCTTTTTGGTGGTATGTAGAACCCTTTTTAAAGACGTGCTACATAGAACCACCTACAACACATTCTCCATCAATTAGAAGAATGATTTAACCATGCAAAGAACCATTTAAGCATGCAAATGCAGTTCTTTGAGTGTTCATGGTTCTGCATAGAACCATTGTTACTAAAGAACCCTTTAAAAAGCTTCTTTAAGAGCGTGTGTCACGAACACGGCAAAAAAATGGTATCTTGGCAAGTAAAATGGTCTTAAATCTAATTGTTATATCTAACATTGTCTTTTTCTTTATAGATTTTTTGATAATTTTAAGAAATGTGTTAGAAACAAGCAAAATTATCTGCAATTATTGTGATAGTTTTACTCAATAAAATCACCTTAAACAAGCAAAAACATCTAGAAATAAGTTATACAATCTTATTTATGCAACCATCTCAAAATGAGAAATATTAGATATTTAGACGAGATTTAAGACGATTTCTCTTGTTAATATTAATAATTAATTTATTGCAGTGTAGCTTTATGAAAGCTGCCACACATTAAAGTGTTACCCATTTATTTTAAGATCTTTTTTTTTCTGGATTAGGTGTGACGAAGCACTTAATTACTAAACAGATAATCAAATACTAACAAATAATCGAATACTAAATGAACAATAAACGAATTCTAAAACAAACGCTGGAGTATTGAGCCCCAGCTGAGAGTCCTCGGTGTGACTGAGCTGCTCTTTAGTCGCTGCAGAGCTCCTCTCTTACATGAGCCGAGTGCACCCAGCGTGGAACCGTGGTGGTTGTCATGGTGACCTCTGAAGAACCCTGAGCGAACCGCTGTGGATCAGGGAGGAGTCAGTGACTCGGCCGGTGGCTGCCCATGCTCGGCTAATGTAGTGCAGCGGAGATGATGAAGTGGCTTGAAGAGTCGGTGTAGCAGTTACTCAACAAGCTTTAGCACTTTGGGAGAACGCGGAGAACAGTCCTGATGTTCTGTCGGAGCTTGTTGACAAAAGAAGGAATAATCTAATGACGTCTATTCAGCAGACTGAACAGGCAAAAATACGAGTCAGTGAGAGTCGGCGTCCGTGTCACTGTCACCCTCATCGTCCTCAGTGCTGCGGAATTGTCCGCTGTACAAACACAACTGATTTAAATGAAGCTAAATGAACACGAATTTGATGCGAGCGCTGCGATGGTGACGTAATGGATTCTGTCACTGTCTCTTCATTTCCAAATCAGCAGCCTCGAAGGGAACAGAGTCAGCCAAATCCGCCTCTCAGCTGGAAAAGGCTTCAGCATGGCTGGTACTGGACTTTTAAACTTATCATGCAGGAGTGG